CCTTGGAGGGACTTTGATCATTTTTTAGGCGACTTTCGAAAGCGTCATCGAGGGACTATGATCATTTGATTGTTTGTTTTGCCCAAAGAGACCTAGCATGCAATATGGCCCATTATTGAAGGCAACAAGTGGAATACCCTAGGGGTGCAAGTGTGATTAGTGTTGTCCATTTTCATGCTTGTTTATCTTGCAATTAGGTCAAACTATTTTGGTTAATTGATTTGCATACAAACCCTAATTCTAGCATGGTATAATTAGAAAGCATTAAAGTGCGAAAAATAAAGTTACTAAGTTATTACAACACAATATATGGGAAGGGGGGTACAAGTGTTCAAATGGGGGTATTTTGACAAGGAATTTAAACCTAGATTATTACATCAAATTGAGAATTTACAAGATATTTAATATACAACAATTAAATAAAATGGAATAAATATGCAAGATGCAAAAAATGTTTTTTATGTGTATGAAAAAAAAGGTATTTTTTATGTGTCAAATAAACAAAATAAAAAGTATCAATTTTTTTGAGTATTTTCCATGTTAAGGGCAAAACCCTAATTTTATTAAGTAAATTGTATTAATTATTTAATATGTACAAATATTTATCAATTATGTACAAAAATAAAATAAAAATGAAGTATATTTGTAAAAGGATATTTTTAATATAAAATATTAATAAAAATGAAAATGTGTATATTTTGTATTTTTTAACCTAAATATACTAATAAATATATATGTACTTATATTATTTACAAAATATATTGAATATGTACAAAATAATAATATTTAATATTTATGAAAAAAAGTATATTTTATATAAAATGTTTTTAGAAGATAAAATGAAATAAAAATGGAAAATAAAATGTGTTTGCACTATTTTAGTATTTTTTAAATAAAAGTATGTAAGTATTTATTTATGTACAAACATTATTTTAAACAAATAAAATGCCTAATAAATATAAAAATGGTGTAAAAATATTTTTTTTATATTTTTAATATTGTGAGGAAAAATAAATAAGTCAGAACAAAAAAGAAAAGGTCAAAAAATCATGAAAATAAGCATAATGGGCCAAGGGGGTTTAAAAGTAACAAAAGGGTGCAAAAAGAAAGTCAACTCAGGCCCAGCCCAAGAAGACTTCATCTTCAACCTCAGAACATGTTTGAACAACCATCCATGCGCGTTTTCTATCTCCCAATTCCTGGACTTTCAAGCAAAACTCACAACATGAAAAATGTAGAGCATTAAAAGACGAATCCAGACATATAAAGAACTTGACTTAACTCTCTAAGATGAGAGAGAATTTCTTCTCCCCCAATTCCTGACCTAGTTTTTGTTCCATGTTCAGACATTAAATTCTCACAGCACACATAATATAAATGAAAACTAATTACATGGGCATGTTCAGGGCTATGAATGTGACATATTTTCTTCACAAACCTAAAGCTAACAATGCCTGGATAGAGAGATACGAGTTCATGAACTTACCTGTTCAGTTGGAGTTGTATCTGGTGATGGAGGTACTTTCAGTGCAAGGTGATGATTGGTACAACTTCCTTGATGTCCAAGGATGCTATTCCAAGTTTTACTTTGCTTTGAAACTAGCTGAATCGAGTTATAGAACTCCACCTGCAAAACAGAAAAATGAAAATGGTGATGTTGAATGGGAGTGTTACAGGTCGTGTTTGAGGTTTGGAATAGCTTCAAGGGATGTTGTGGGATGTGTTTGAGGTGATTTTAGCAAGAATGCATGAAAGGATTGAGCTATGGAACTCAATCTGCAGCAGGTCCCCTGTTTTGGCAGTTTGAGGGTGATTCTGTGTTTGAGAGGGTGTTGGAGATGGTTGGCTCGTGTTCTAGCTCAGGTTTGATGATTAGAAAGTGTTTGACAAGTTTGCTTAAGCTTGTGTTAGCTGAGATGAGAGTTGTGTTATGTTATGCTAGCTTTCTTCAACTTTAAGCAACAAATGTCCACTTGAGTTTTTAGACTGATAAAGGCCCCCCTAATGTGCTACAAACCTTGGCCTTGATCAGTGTAATTAGCTCATAAACTTGTGCCAAAGAGATTTGCACTGTACTTGCTTGGATTGCTAATTGACATAAAGTTTACTTTTGCAAAAATGGACATTATGCTTTTTCCATTTTGGGACTAAACCTTTATGTAATGCTTGAACACATAAAATATGGTCTTGGCACAATTATTTTGCATTAAATTTATGAGTGCAAAAGGGATATAGGACCTGTAATCAAGTTGTGCAAGCTGATTTCAAAATGGCCTAGATGTATGAACATGTAACTTGGCCAAATCAAAAGTGAGTTTTTTCCAACTTGCCAAATTCGATTCTCCCTAACCATGAGGTTGTTTGATGAGTTCTTGGACATTTTGGAAAGCTTGGAATGTGTACTATAATCCATCTTTTAAATGCAAATTGAAATTCCAAGTGGAAGTATGTGAAAAAAGGTCTTGAAGTTAGGTAAAAACCTTGCCTAAAATAGGTCAAATTTTCTCTAAGTTAAGAATGGTTTGGTACCCTTGTTCCAAAAATTGTAACTTGAGCTACAAGCTTCTTTTTGGAAAACTTTGTGAATCAAAGTTGTAGATTTTGAAATAGGCTACAACTTTCATGTTTTGACTTTTGCTTGAATCCAAATGAATCTTGGTGAGAAAGTGGGACAAAGTTAGGAAAAAATTAGGGTTTTTCATAACTTAGAAAAATTCTAAGTTATGAAAAATCTTCATTTCAAACCCTAATTTGCAATCCTTGATTTCTTGATGAACAAGTTTCATGATTTGGCATGTTTTGATGAAAAATGAATCTTGACACTTGATTTTGACCAAAAAGTCAAAGTTTGACTTTTCAGTATACAGTCAAAATTGATCAATTGACTGGGAAATTCAACTGTCAATCTTGTGCATTTGGGATCTTTTGAACTTGTTGAGTATGTCAAGACAATTCCATGGGGTCCTTGAGTCCATATGTGAGCTTGGTTTGCCATTGGCTAGGTCAAATAGTCAAAAATTGCCTTTGTGCAGTCAAAACCCTAAAAATGACCATTTTGCCCTTTTGGTGATCTGATCAATTTTTTGTGTAGAATTATGATCCAAACTTGATCAAATGGTCCATGTGAGTTCATAATGTTGACGTGGGTCAATTTTCATGAGGTTTGACTGTCAATTGGTCACAATTGACTTTTTCCCCAATACAGTTGATTTCTAGGTCAACTGTCCAATTGACTGGGCAAAATTTGGAATCAAGACTTGAAACTTGGTATGGATAAACTTGGGAGTCCAACATGAAGCATGAAAGTCATCTTAGGCATTTTAGGTCAAAATATCTCTGTTCAAACACAAACCCTAATTTAGGTCAACAATGCAAGGAGGAGTCTTGAGCAGAGGAAACCCTAACTGGATCTTGAGCTTCAAGGGTCTTGTGATGAGAAAATGTTGAGGAAATGAGAGAGCAAATTTTGGGGTACAACACTACCCACCCCCGAAAGAAGGTCATAAGGCGTTTTGTGTTTCCTTCCTAAACCAAATATATGTTTGCAATCACTGACATTTGAAGTTCATTATCCAAAAGAGGGGCATAATCGCCTCAACATCCATAAGAGGTTGGATCTAACTTCTTGAGTCAAATGATGAAGTAATGAGCCATTCCTCCCAACGAGAGCTCTTTCTCACAAATTTGTCTGCCAAAAGTTGCAGACGGTTGAAATTGCAGGTTACTTTTCTTCCCTGATTTTCCATTTCCTAATGTTTGATAATTTTCTTTGAACATTATCTATCATTCCCACAAGCGAAGCCAATGTTTTTTTCTTGCTAGGAAACTTTCCTTATCGATGGATATATCATGTACTTGCAGTCTTGAATCCACAAATATTATCGTTGTTCTATCGTATAGGTTAGACGGAGGAGGGGGTGATACCTGCAAACGTTCCTATGGTCAAGTAAAAGATTGTCAGATATGAGACGTATAAAGTTTAAGGAGTTCTCTATGTACCTTAATTTAACGTATCGAGTCCTTCACATAAGGGTTTTATTAGGGTTTATGAAGACTTATAACCTTGACTTTTAATCATTGTTGTTTAAGTAGAAAAATGTGAACATATAATCCTTAATGTATTGCTATTTTGTTTTCTTACGTCATTGACATGACGTCATACAATCATAAATATCTTTACATTTTTGGGCCTCATGCCTATATTGTACTTCCTTATACTTTGTACCGAGATCGAGTAGAAACATTAATATTTTTTATCTGGTCTCGACCCCAAAACTCAGAATCTTAGTTTATTAGAACATAACATATCAAATCACTAATTGAAAAACGAAACATATTGTGAACACATCTTAGAAGTACATTTAAAACATAACTGATGATCAAATCAAGACCAACAATTAAGATCATATCATGATTTGTCCGTATTGATAAAGCTAGTCACGTTAATAAGATTTTGGATTCAACAATTATAATGATTTGTCCTTATTGATAAAGCTAGTTGCGTAATTAAGATTTTGGATTCAACCATTATAATCCTTCTACTATAAAGTCAAGTGAATGATGGAGGACTATGTACACTATTTTTCTAACTATTAACTTGATATTTACATCTTTTATTTATTTGATCGTCAAAATACTCACATATACATCATCTCATTTATAATGTGGTATGTTAAATATGAGGCCATATTATTGTAAAAGTGTCGAGGATGGTTTAGTTATTAGAATTTGACCCTTATTTGTCGAAGAGATATTTTATAATTGGGAGAGGGGTTTATAAGTAATTTTCAATGAAAAGGTTAATTTTTCTAAATTAAAAACTGGTTCATCTTGTCCAAAAAAAAAAAAGAGGTCAATTTTGATTTTGATTGTAAACAAAAACAATCAATCACAATCTCCGAGTCCAAGAAAAGAATCAGTCTGGATCTGACCGCGACGCAACAGAACGCAGCGAGAGAGTAGAGGAAACTGGAGAAAAGAGGATAGGAGAGGGATCATCGATGATACTCCTCCAGTCCCATTCTAGATTCCTGCTTCAAACTTTGTTGAATCGCCTTCAAAAGTACACTCTTTTTTCATTCATTCTAACCAATGTCCTAAAACGCCTGCGTTTTGAGGCTTTCAAACACTCTCCAATGCTTTTCTACTACTGAACCTCTTAATTTCTGTTTCAGTATTGAAAAAGGTGTTGAACTCGATCATCACTGGGTTGAATTTGATGATGTTCGATATCATATCCAGGTAACCATTTATTAGCTATGTATGCTCATGCTGCTTAACTTCACAATATATATTTATTCTTAGGTATAAGTAAACTTGTATGGGACTCATTGGGCGTTTAACAATCAAAACCAGTATAAACTAAGTGTACCAGAGATGAAGATGTTGTGTTCGATGTGTGCTAAGACATCATAAGATTATAAATCACAATATTAGAGAGACTGTTCGGGTAGCACCTTTAGTAGAAAAGGTGGTGAAAAATAGACCTCTGTGGTTTGGACATGTAGAGAGAAAACTAGTAGATTATGTGGTAAGGAGAGTAGATCAGATAGAGAGGATTCAAATAGTAAGAGGTAGAGGAAGACCTACAAAAACTATAAGAGAAGATATTAAGAAAGATCTCTATATTAACCATTTGGATAAAAGTATGGTTCTGGATAGAACATTATAGCTAAAGTTGATCCATGTAGCTGACCCCACTTAATTAAGTGGGATAAGGCTTGGTTCTTGTTGTTGTTAGCTATAAGGAAAGTCAGTGTTGTTGAATAGTGGCTACTATGGTGTTATATACTGTAGGCGTGTAGCAAAATTTTAATAAATTGCTATTGCTCCGCAATATGCAATTTAGTGCAAATAAACTCTCTTTGGCCGTGTTTGATTTAGCATTTATGCTATAAACACTTACCATAGAAGTATAGGATCTTGAATTTGACGGTTTTGGGTTGCATATTTGATCAAGCAAACAATAATTGTAGGTGTCAATGAAGAATCCTCATATTTTCTTGCTATCAGTATCGTTGCCTACTCCATCTTCAGAAACTATTTTTGTATCTGGACTACCTTTTGGAGCCATTGAAGCAATCAAAGCTGCATATGGTAGTCTTGTGCAAATTCTTGATCCTCCAAGGGATGGCTTTAACCTCACGTTGAAGATAAATCTGTCGAAGGTTCCTGCAAATCAAGGTACATCAGGGTTCTATGTATAGGATGTTACTTTAACTTTGCATTTCTCTTGCTAGGAGAAGCTTTTCTGTTTTAAATTGAGTTTATCAGTTTCGGTCTTTTCTATGCGTTAAAACTATTGAGTAGTATTGCATTTTCACTACCACAGTAAATTATTTTCACCTGTTTTTGCTTCAGGAATTTGCACCGGGTATAGATATTTGATAGTATTTAAATGTAAACTGGTAATTGAAGCACTTGGTTGATATTCTCAATTTTCAATTTTGATGTTGCTATGCGTCTGAGTTTGTAGGTTGATATATAATTAGTAGTATATTGGCATGCATGATTTTTTCACGTGCTTTGGATTGTCTATATCTTTTTTCTGTATGGTTCATGGTAATGTTGTTTGATGCGTAACCCAAAGGAGGACAATGGTTCTTGATGGAAATAGAAGTAGAAATTAATAACTAATTCAAGTTTCTTGGCCAAGGTTTCTATGATTACTTGGAGAAAACTCTTAATGAAGTTTTTGGTTGAGAATTATAGTCAATTGGATAAACTTGATTATGAACTCTGTGCTTTGTTGTGAAGATCTCTTGAACTAAATATTTTGGCAAATTTTAAAAAACTTAAGACTTATCGTACTTTTTTTAAGAAGGCTCAACATGTTTTGCTAATAACATCCAATTGCTCAAATTGTTTTTTTTCTTCTGGAAACTGTTTTTTCATACTGGTTCATCACTCCATTAGTTTTATTTAGGTGTAATTTCTAGGTTAAATTATTCAGTTGTTAATGCTGTTCTTTGACAGTTGGCGGTGTTGATCTTGTGCAGAGCAAAAACAAGCACTTTTAGTAAAAGTTGCATCAATAAGGGAGGTTGTCCTTGGTGCACCACTAAGAGTAATTTTAAAACACCTTGCTTCAAGAACTGTTGCTCCGGATATGGATCCACTTGTTGCTCTTGTTCATCGGCCAAAGGAGTCTTTTTTTGTTTTTCCCCAGGTATGATTGTCGACGCAACTTTCTGTTACTGAAACCTTCATCGCTGCTTGGGATATTTTATTCACAATTTTTTGTACTTAGTAGTTCAGTGATCCCTTATATTACTTAGTAGTTCAGTAATCCCTATTACTTAGTGGTTTGGTAATGTAAGGGATCTTTAATAACAGAGAGGTGGTCCTGGAGTAAGAACAAAATCTGAGAAAGAAAGATAGAGAGAGATAATGGAGTGAGATGTTAAGAGAGATTTAACAGAAAAACCCTCTGACCAGACTATTTATGAGCATTAACATCATAATTGAACATTTAAAGCCAAAAGGTAATTAAAACTCGAACATTTCATATCCTAGCACATTTTTGTCAAAACATGTTCAGACCTTTATTGCCAAAAGCCAAGCCAAAGGAGACCCGGTTCCTTCACACTCTATGAGTGTAAGGATAAAGAGAAACAAAATAGACTGAGGGGATTACTTGTATAAATAAATGGGGATGGAAAGATGAAAGGAAAACCTTCGGGGAAAGTTCTATTCTCTACTTTATGATCAATTTTCAATAATGCATTTCTATGCTTTTGATGCTTTCATTTCAATTTCTTTGGGTTTTTAACAAATTGGTCCAACCTGTTGGATCTTTCACCGGAGAAAAATGATGAAGGGATCAGTGATAAGTTATGAAACCCGAAGTACCAGTGTTGTCTATGGTGGATGGTGCTCCATGGCGGAGAGCCAAAATTCTGCTATACCGGCCGCTTTGCGGTGCCATTGTAGCGGATTATGGCGGAAAAACCCGCATTATCGGTCGATATTTACCCCGAGCCCAAAAACCTGCATGTATATCTGCCACAGCGGCCACGGCACCGCTATTTAATAACACTGCGTAGTACAAAACAGATGCGATGATACAATAAATTTTTGAAATTCACGATACGATGTGGCCTGATTACATTTACAAAATTCTATAGAAAAACTTATGTAGATGTAGTATACTTGTAAAAAAAAAAGCATTGGCGTTCTTCATTAATATATAACTATGAGGATCACAAATTACTAAAAAGATACTTGCAATGATAGTAAAAGTAATATAACTTTTGTCTATATCATAATATAATCTATATGTTAGGATATCAACAAAAGCATCAATAGTAGAACTCAAAGCAAGTCTCGGCCCTATACTAATACAGTAGCCAACAAGACAATGCTTAGTAAGAAGCACTTGAAAAATAGTCCACGGGTATGTAATCAAGTAGCAGCCATTGATTATTAAAAAAATAATGAAGGGTTTTAAATACCGGCATTTGATTACCACCTAGTGTGATATGGCACTGGTAGTATGCTCAGTGGAAGTTGATGCTCCGTTTCACCATGTTGTGCTCCTTGGCAACGGTTTCATGAGCAGACAAGGGTTCATGACAACTGCAAAGAAGAAGACAGTGACGACTTCTGCGCGAGAATATTGATGCAGTTGTTATCTGCTTCTCTTCCGATCGACACTCCATTTCAAAGGCAGATCATGGGCCTCACCTCCAATTCCACTTCCAACTCATGATTCAATTTCCTCCAGGAAAAGGAAGAGAAATAGATGACATTTTCTCACGGTTAACATATTTCTTATCCAGAACCAGTAAACAATTCAAAGAGGTTCATGGATTAGGGTTTTGGAGTATATTGTTTTCTGTTTCTATCTCTAAATCTTTAAAACTGGATGTTTTTTTTTTTATTGATTTACCTTTCTAATCCCGTGTTATTTGTTCAATCTCAAAGTTTTGGCTCTTCATTTCAAACTTAGTTACAAAACATGTTTGTGGTGCACGCTTTAAGGAAGTGTAGGATTGCCAACTCAATTGCCATTGAAGATAACGTTTTGGTCCGAGAGAAAAAAACGACGCATGTAATAGCAGTCAGAGGGTCAGAGGAGTTGCAGAGAAACATGAAGTAACGAAAAGTAACCTGTTACTTTACCCATGTATTGATGCACTACTTCTAAATAGAGCACAGTTTATGGCACCTAGTAGCCAACAATTCAAAAGCATCTTTACTAAATTAACTAAGTATGTGCTTTTCATCAAATAGAATAAAAGGCCTAATCTAACCCCACACTGGTTCTTGTGCCAAAGAAACTTCCTTAATCAACTAAGCATGTAGTATAGCTATTAAGGAGACTGTTCTATTTGTGTGGTCTTCCTTAATCTAACCTGCGACAATAGATGCTATTAGTTGTGAAATAATGAAAAATGCAAAATAACTAGACACAATTCTTTTATTTGAAATTGTACAAATCTTGTTCTCTGGTTTTGATTCTATCGTGTTTCAAAGTTTAATTTGTCACATTGCCTTGACAAGATTGACGTCTGAGATGTTAATTGTCCAATTAAGTTATATGATAGGGAAGCATCCCTTAAGGGTTAGTTGATGAAATATTTTTGTTTTTGACAGGCTGACAAGGTGACTGTGATGTATCCTATGAGATTCAATGATTCAATAGACACTGTTCTTGCAACTTCCTTTTTGCAGGTATGGTTGCTTAGGTAATTTCTTTTTTGTAAGGGTCACAAGATTGAAAATAGCATGGGGAGAGTTATACATTTTTGTTTCACCTTGCATACCATTCTTGTGTGGTGCTTTGCTCCTTGTTTGGGTCGTTTGATGGTTTCAACTTACAAGTTTATTATAATTTAGGAATTTGTCGAAGCCAGGCGTACAGCTGGACTTAATAATACCCCTCCTTGTTCGTGGTCTCATACTACTCCACAGGAACTGAAAGAAGTATCTCCTGAAGCATTATCTGCTAATGCAGGATTTGTATCATTTGGTTAGTGTACAGATAAGTTGTCACAATGTTTGTTTTATTTCTTTTTTCTTGTATCACTGCAACGCGATATATTCAACTCTGCAGTTATCTTCCCTCGTCATGTTGAAGGCCAGAAATTGGATCGGACAGTATGGAGTCTATCAACTTTTCATGCTTATGTTAGTTATCATGTCAAGGTCGGGGTTTTCCTTGCACTAATATTCTTCAGTTGCGTGCATAAATATGGTATCACTTCATGTGTTTAAAGTATTGAGTCACTACAATTTACAAAGCTTGATTTGGTGTCAATGTCATATATTACCATCTTTAGACCTTTACATGTTATTTATGATTATTTTATCATAGCATTGACAATACAAGAAAGTTTTATACATATACTGAATCATATCTCAGTGATGGAACATAATGTTAGTTTCTAAAATATCTTTACAAATTGGATCTTTCTCGGTATACCTTTATATGTTTGGCTGCCCTATGATGAATTTATTTTTAACAATAAATCTGCGTAAGAGATGTTTGATTCCAATCTACACCGCCATTATGCATATTTGTAACAGTGCTCAGAAGGATTTATGCATACTAGGATGCGTCGTCGTGTGGAGTCCTTGATACAGGTAATCATGCATGCTATTTACTAGTTCAATCAAACTTTTGTGGTAGCTCATAGCAGTATTTTTTAAGGTACCTCACCCTAATTGTCATTACTGAATATGCTTGATTATAAGAGAACACGGTTCATTCATACTTGATATTACATTATTGGTCCACCACTTACACTTGAAATCAATTAAAACTGATCTTGTTGTTATTTGACGATACAAAAACATATCATCCATATATAACTTGTACATAAAAGAGGCACTCTGGAAAACTTAGGGTTGAAAGAGATCACAGCTGTGAATCTTCTGAGGCTAAATAACAGCATCAAGAAATAATAGGAAATAATGAAAGAATAAAAGAAAAAGTAGAGAATAAAAGTATAAAACATAACAATCATTCCTTCAATAACTAGTTGGAGCATATATGCTATATGCATGCGGCCCGGTCAGCTCATGTGCGCCCCACTATCCAGCCTGTTATGCTGCAATAATTTAGTGAAGATGTCTACTGGCTGATCATTAGAATAGACAGAACAGTTATCGATGATGCCTCCAAGAATCATTTCTCAAATAAAATGACAACCAACCTTACATTTTCCATGAGTCATAACATGATAATCAACATCTATACTTGACTTTACCAAAACCGATTGAGTCTTACTTCTCCATGAAATTAGAGTTCCCGTCCAATTAGAGTATAGTAACGGTAACTGAACTTCCTATGACTAGCATCTTAATTTCAATTTGCATTTGAATATCCAACAATATCAGGGTGACAATTTTCTGCATAAACTATCCTTATTTCCATGATCTCTTGATATGCCTCAACAAAAACTAGTTCATTTCATTTTGTGATAGACACTACAAGAAGTAGAACACTTCTGCCTTAAGTGGTATTACAGGAACAACGTTTCCACTTTGCTTGTGTATTGCTCACTTCTAGATATTTATTTGTTTAGTAAATAACCTGCAACCATTTGTATTTATTTTACTTATATTTTTCTTTGATTTTTGAATTATATTCTTTTCCTACGGATGTTTTATATTTATTTGTCCTATATTTATTTCTTTTATATTAACATACCTGTACTCGGTACCATACACCTGTAGCGATGCATAAAAAGTCATCACCCTAGATGGGATAGTGCTTCTTGAATAATTACAGGGATGTAATAGATTATATATAGCAGATACGAAGGTACAATGACAAGGGAAACATTCAATGATAACTCGAAAAATAATACATGACATGGTGATTAACAATAGTTCGTTTACCTTAGGCTATGTCTGGATTGATGGAACATAATTGAGTGGAGCAGAATAGAACATAACAGAGCGGAATGGAATTTAAATTCCACTCCATTGTTTGGATATTTTATTAAAAATGTCTCATTCCATTGCATACACCTCAAATCGGATGTAACAAAAAATGAAGGATTGGATGGAATGGGATAGAATGGATTCCATCACGTTCCATTTTACTCCATCCATTATTTGCAAATTCAAACAACGGAATCTGATTATATACCATTCCATTTCATCAATCCAATCAATCCAAACATACCTTTGATGAAAAACAAAAGGAATGTCTAAAGATGACTTGGGGAGGACTGAAAGCAGGGGGGACAACCGGAGATAAAGCTGAATCGCCTAGATCAGTCCTAGGAATTAATTGTGGGATCACTTGATGCTGAAATTCATAGTAAGTAATACCAAACAACACAGTGGACAGACAACATTTTTTTGGTTCAAGAGAGTTACCTGAAGATTGTGGGGTAGTAAGAACAGTGAGTCGTGACTGATGACTCAAGGTAAAGGAATTGGCCAGGCCTAGAAGATGGGCATTGGTACTAGAGGGATGCAAAATATGGCAAACCCAAGTTACTCTTGAACCATGTATGCGCAGGTGAATAACAAAGGTACCCTTTATGAACTCTAGAATAACCTAGAAGAACACGTTCACTAATGCTAGCAAACAACTTATCACATTCAGTAGAGAGACCGTGACCAAGGCAAGGAGAGCCAAAAACACATGGAGAAACAACATAGGGGTCATTTTGATGCAAAAGTGAGTGAGGAATCTCGTTGTCTAGAATCAAAGATAACACCCAGTTTATTAAGTATCTAGCACTAAGAACAATATCTACCAAACTTTAAAGGTGCAGTAAGTAGGGGCAAATTCCTTTACTTTTTAAATATGTGGTTCTAATATTGCTGTTTGGTTGTTGTCAAGGAATGCACCTAGTTTAATTTAACTGGCAACTAAAAGCCCAACTACAATGCCTCACAAATTATTTTTCATTCATTGAAGAGTTCATATGATATAAGTGAATTTATCAAGTTGCATTGGCCAGTGACAATCTCTGCTTCTGATCAATTACTTTTTGTCTGGCATACGAGCGTAGTGGTCATTTTCCCTTAAACAATTTGTTGACTTACTCAGTATATGTTGTGTAATGAAACTTATGCTTATTTTGTAGGCTCTGGACCGTGCTAAACCAGATCCTGAGAGTTCAAAGAAAACTTCACACAACAGATCCTTCCAACGGCTGGTTCGTTATATGCATGCTTAATGAGTTTTGTGATTTCTTTTTTATTTCTGTTTTTTGATAATATGCTCAAGTCTGATAAAATCTATATTGAATTATAGAGCCTCAAGGAGTCAAGAACCCGCTCATTTTCATAAAGATGAAACCTGATGAGAACGTAAAGATGTTCGGCTTCTTTGGACTACACAATCGCCACCAAGGAATTGCTGGTGCATGTTTGCAGAATGTCCCACTTGCTTGTAACTTGAAGATGTGATTCTTCTTTTGGCCTCTACAAAGCTCAGCAATCCAATGCAATGCTGACTTACTCTTGCAGACCGCCCCAGGTGCCTGTAATTTATTCGTAGGAAAAAAAGGATACTAATACAAGATAAATGTTTGATCAAATTAGTTATTAAGAAATGTACAATTGTTTATCATCCGACGCATCCCCTTTTAGTGTAAATTTGTTAATTCAAGTTTGAGCTTGCGAACGAGGTGGTATGATAGGCTTCTTTAGCATTTTGAGGGGTTTTAAATTTAAATTTAAACAGATGTAAGTGCATGTAGCATGCTCTTGCAGGTTGCAGTTCAAATTTATTGTGTTTCCCGGTAAATTACCCATGAATTTTCTGTCTCAAATGAATCTTCCTCTCAATATGTATGTGTTATCGGAACTACATCATTTCATTTGGTCGTGCCTGAAAAGATATATCTTAGGTACTTGGCATTGATGTTGGTAGAACAGTCAATATGCTTGGAAAGCAGTTGAAGCTTTAATGCCATATTTCAAATGAGAGCTATCTTGCAACCACCTTGTTAGACTTATTGATAATGTTACTTTGCAATTGTATTTTGTTAGCTATGTTTTAGAATGAACCCCCTATTTAAACAAAAGTCCAACCAACTTTATTAAGCATGGTTGGCTTGAACATCTTTTTTCCCTTAGCTAGGAATTTAAACAAAAGGTAAATCTACAAAATGTTACGCGATTTCAAAAATAATTATAAAATATTATATCTTCATTAGATTTATCTTTGTAAAATTAGGTTACACTAACAATCCATGGCCCCTTTTTTCTCATAATATTATTATGATTTAAAATATTTAAATACTTTTATGAATAAAATATTATTGGAAGTTTGAATCAAATATTTATATTTTGTCTAGTACATAGTTGTTATATTCTAGATATATTCTAACATTTTCATGATGATCACACAACCGAATACCAAATCATAGATATACCTGCCCTAATTCTAAACCAATCTCCCGACGACCTAAACACCTGGAAAATAGTTGGAAGGTTTATAGGAAAAATTAAGCACCATTCCAATCACTTAAAAATCTTGTATCAAATAGATGTTGTCAGGTTGTATGTCATAAACAAATGAGAAGTTGACTCAATAGTTCAAATTCTTTTTTAAACTTCTAGTAGGAATTTATCTCGAAGGAGTTTAAAAAAGAAGGTAAGTGTTGAAATATTAAATTAAATTTGTTAAAATATTAAATTATATTATTTGATTAGATTTAATATTTAAATATAATTCAAGTTGAGTAGATCCAAACTCAATTAGAGTTGTATATAAATAGTCATAGTTTGTATCATTATTTGTACAATTTAATAATATAAATCCTCATTTCCTTTATTATTCTCTCTTTCTCTACCCACTAAAGTGCCCCACGCACTAACAAATTGGTATCCAGAGCTTTCGATTATTATTTTTGATCGAGTTTTCAAGAATTTCACGTCAGAGATCGTGTTTCTAGGACAAGTGAATCAACTGTTGCGAAGATGGCTAGGGATAAGGGCATTCTGAATTCTCTTCCAATACTTGACGACAAGAATTAGATCCAATGGAAAAAACAGATGTAATCCTTATTTGACTTCCATGAAACCCTATAAGTGGTTACCGGCGACATTCCTGCGTTGGCTACAAATGCAACCGATAAATAGAAAAAAGCCCACAACAAAGTCAAGAAGAAAGATTGTAAGGCTGCTTATTGCATTCAGACGGCGGTCGACGTTGTTAATTTTGACAGAGGCTCTCATGCTGAAACGGTGAAGGAGACATGAGATATTATGGTGAAGTATTACGAGTGAGGTGAGAAAGTTAAGTTTGTCAAGTTACAAACTTTGCATCGACAAATATGAGTTGTTGTCGATGGGAGAAGATGAAAAAGTTGTAGAATATATGTCGAAGGTTCAAAAACCCGTTCATCTCATGAAGGGTTATGGTGAAATCATAACTGATAAAATGATAGTTGAGAAGGTAATGAGAATGTTGATCTCTCCCTTTGATCACGTTATCATAGCTATTCAAGAATTCAACAATCTTGAAACCATTAAAGTGGAAGATTTGGTTGGTTCGTTGGAGGCGCATGAGATGAGGATTGTCGAAAGGAAAGAAGTGCAAGACTCGATACAGGCTCTGCAAGCTCAGTCATGGAAAAAGGATGGTGGTTCCAACAAATTCAAAGGCAAGTTCGACAAGACTCAGGGCAAGAAGTCTTGATCGAAACCTCACAAATATCAGGTCGAAGATGGAGCTTCTGAATCCTCGAAAGGAGGAGGAGGAAACTATCAAAAGGGCAAAGAAGATAAAAAATGTGTGCAGTGTTATAATTGCGAAAAGTGGGGTCACGTAGCCAAGAATTGTTGGTACATAAAAGACAAGAGATCGACAAGCAAGGATGAATGAGCGAACCTTGCACGCCAAGATTCAAATGATTCTGAAGGTGGTATGGTGGTAATGGCTGCAGTTGCAGATAACTATGTCAAATCTAAAATCTGGTTTCTCGACTCAGGTCGCTCGAACCACATGACTGATCGAAAGGAGTGGTTGGCAGATTTTGATGAGTCGAAGAAGAGCAAGGTAAAACTTGCTGATAATAGTTCGTTGTAAGTAGAAGGTACTTAAAATATAGTCTTTCAAATGAGTAATGGAGGGAGAGTTATGATCAAAGATGTGTTTTATGTACCTGAAATAAAATGCAACTTGCTAAGTGTTGGACAACTAGTCAAAAAAGGTTTCTCAGTTGTCATGAAAGATGGAGTTTTGAAATTGTTCGACACCAAGAACAATTTGGTCTTAAAATATCCATTAACAAAGAACGGGATATTTAAGACTATGATCAGTTCGACTGAAGTTCAATATTTGAAAACTGTTGTTGACCACAAGGATAATTGGTGTGGCATTTGAGGTTTGGACATTTGAATTTTCGATCACTCAATCAACTGATTACTCAAGATATGGTTACTTGAATTCCAAGTCTTAAGATGCTTGAAAAACTTTGTGAAGGTTGTTTAGTAGGAAAGCAATCTAGAAATTATTTCGTTTCGACTATGCCAATGATATCATCTTGCATACTCGAAGTGGTACGTTCAGATGTATGTGGTCCATTCGAAGAACATACAATTGGTGGAAACAAATATTTTGTTCCGCTTATCAATGAGTTTAGTCGAAAGTTGTGGATCTATGTGATCAAACGAAAGGCCTAAGTATTCGAAATCTTTAATAGATTCAAGATACTTGTCGAAAACCAGAGTGAGAAGAAGATCAAAGTTCTGCGAACATATAGAGGTGGCGAATACACATTCAAGATGTTTGAAGATTTATGTGCAGAACGTGGTTTTAATCATGAGGTAACTGCTCCTTATACACCTCAACATAATGGAATTGCTGAAAGAAGAAATAGAATCATATTAGATATGGCGAGATGCATGCTGAAGTAAAAGAATTTGCCAAAGTCTTTATGGGGAGAAGCTATTTTGACTGCAATTTATATTTTGAATAGGTGACCTACCAAAATATTGGAGAACAAAGTTTCTGAAGAAGTATGAAGTGACAAAAGACCATCAGTGAGTCATTTGAAGGTGTTTGGCTCTGTTACAAACATGTTTTTGATGCAAGAAGAAGGAAGTTTGATGACAAGAGTGAACCTATGATTCTGGTAGGATATCATAAAACTGGTGCATACAGACTATTCAATCCAGTTAATGAGAAGATTGTGTTGAGTCGATATATTGTTATTAATGAAAATTCTTCCTGTGATTGGAATTCTAGCAATTCAATTAACAAGCCATTGATGAGTTCTGATGTCGATGAAGAAACTGATGAAGTAAAGGTTAAAGGGATTGTTGAGAATCTAGTTGAAGTCGAAGAAGAAACAGTTGTTGGCATTCCCGACACAGTCGAAGTCGAAGAGGTTGTGGCTGAAATAAGCCAAAGACCTCAAAGAAATAGAGTTTTTTCAACAAGACTTCATGATTATGAAGTGGTGGGTGATGATAAAGTCACATCAGATGGAGAATTAGTTCATTTTTCTTTACTTGCAGGTGCTGAACCAATTAACTATAGCGAAGTTTTGAAGACTAACAGTGGAAGTTAGCTATGGTCGAAGAGTTACAGGCAATTGAAAGAAACAACACATGGGAGTTAGTCGAATTTCCAGCACATACAAAAGCTATCGAAGTAAAGTAGGTATTCAAATTGTAACATAGCGTTGATGGCTCGATAGCAAGATATAAAGCAAGATTAGTAGCTCGAGGGTTTCTTCAAAGAGAAGGACTCAACTACTCTGAAATATTTGCTCCAGTAGCAATATTGGAGATTGTTCAATTAGTTGTAATATTGACATACAACCAAGGCTGGTCGATATTTCATTTAGATGTGAAATCAGCATTTCTGAATGGTCCTTTAGACGAAGAGGTCTATGTAACACAACCTTCAGGGTTTGTGATTCAGAAGGAAGCGAGTAAAGTATATAAGTTGTACAAAGCGCTCTACGGCCTCAAGCAGGCACATAGGGCATGGAACAAGAAGATCGACTCATACTTAGTCGAATTGGGATTTGTCAAATACAAATCTGAGTATGGTGTCTATGTTCAGGTTGCAGCACAAGATATAACAATCATCTGCTTATATGTCGATGACTTTCTAGTAACTGGAAATAGCTTGGAGAACTTGTCGAAGTTCAAAGAGCTGATGATGAAGGAATTTGAAATGTCTGATCTGAAAAAATTGTCTTATCTCTTAGGTATAAAATTTCAAATGTCGAAGTAAGGTATGGTGCTACATCAAAGGAAATATGTCAAAGAAATACTCAAGAGATTCAGAATGGATAATTTGAATCCTGCATCCTCACATGTCAAACTAAATGTAAAATTGGAGAAGAATGTAGAGGAAGACAAAGTCGATGTAACTTTGTCCAACCAAATTGTGAGATCTCTGAGGTATGTGTGCAACAGTCGACCTGATATATATTTTGCTGTAAGATTAGTAAACAAAGATATGAGTGAACCAAGAGTGTCACATATGAAGGCTGCAAGAAGAATCCTGAGATATTTGAAGAGTTCGATAAGTTGTGAAATACTATTTCGACGAGATTCTGAAGACAAAGAAACAATAGTTAATTGTTTTTCAGATGCTGATTGGTGTGGAGATAAGAAAGATCGAAGAAGCACAACTGGATATTTCTTTCAAGTATTTGATGTCCCAATCTCATGGTGTTCGAAGAAACAATCTGTGGTGGCATTATCATCTTGTGAAGCTAAATATATAGCGGGATCCTGTGTTGCATGTCAAGTAATTTGGATCAGATATGTACTTGAAGAAATGAAGGTCGAAGTGAAGAAATCTCTTGTATTGTAAATCGACAACAAGCCAGTCAGTCATAAATTCGGTGAAGAATCCAGTTCTGCATGGAAGAAGTAAACATATTGAAGCAAAGTTTCACTTCTTGAGGGAAAAGGTAAATCGAGGTGAACTTGAAGTAAGACATTGCTCGAGTGAAGCACATTTGGCCGATATTTTCACCAAATGATTGGAGATTGACAAATTCCTGAATTTGAGAAAGAAATTATGAATAGTTCAGATTGACTATTTTTGAAGATGTTTGACAACTTTAATTATGGGGGTGTGTTAAAATATTAAATTAGATTTGTTAAAATATTTGATTTGATTTAATTTGATTTAGTATTTAAATATAATCTAAGTTGTGTAGACTCAAGTCCAATGAGAGTTGTATATAAATAATCATAATCTGTATCATTATTTATACAATTCAATAATATAAATCTTTATTTCTTTTATTATTTATTTTTTCTCTCCTCATTAAAGTGTCTCACGCACTAAGAACAAATACTTTAAATGGTGCCAAGCTACCTTAGATGATAGGAAGAGCTAGGTCTAGAGAATTGAGTGAAAACACATTGAGAAGGTTGCACTCAAGAAGAGTCGACTAAAGTGAAGCTACAAGAAGACACAATCCTTGGACTAGGGAAATGGTTTGAATTGTGATTTTTTCTAGTTTTAGTTTCAATCTATATTTTTAATTCATAAAAGTACAATTCTGAATTTATAAAATAGTAATTTATCATCTCAATTTTAAATCTAAAAAAAAAATATCATTTTTAAAATTAAAATTAAATTTTGTTGGTATAACAAATTACATTTTTGAACTAAAAAATGGAAGTTTAACGAAATTAGAACAACTATAATAATTGAAAGATTAAAAATTTGATTTAAAAAAATGTTTTCTTAAATTTAACAAAATAGAGAATTGAATGTGCAATTTTGAAATGTGAGAACTAAAGTTACCCTTTTCATGTGTACTTTACAGACATTCCCAAACAATAGGGTCCCACATATATGGAATAGATTGGTCTTCAGATCTTCAAAATATAATCAAAATTTCAATAAAAATAATAATAATCCCTATACAATACAGTAAGATCATACCATTTGTAATGAAAAGAAGGGACACAATTAATGTCACTTTTCTGAAAGAAACTCTATTTTTGTTTCATGAGTTTTCACTTCTCTCACCAACCAAGCTTTGATTGAAAAATTAAATTATGTGCTTGCTTGTTACTCTGAATCACATTCCAAACTTTCCATTCCTTTCAAGCCTCTGCTACCCTTTTGCTGCATATTCAAGATAACACCAATTCAGTCTTTCATAATGCACACAACATCATAACAAAACAAAAAAAAAGCAAATGTAAATTTAACTCATACTATTTATATTACCGTTCGATCAAGATCAAACGATATGAATTACAAGTCTATAGTATTTAGAATTTTGAAAATAAAATCAAAATTTGCACATTGTATAAAAATCAACAATCACTGATCGATGAACAATAAACGGACTCGCGATTTTAGTAATGTTACCTTCTTGACAGATTTCTTCTCCCTAACTTCATATCTACTCTTTGTTAGATCTGGTAGCCACATCCCAGGAAAACAACACTGTAATCATAATCATAATGTTATCATAATAACATATTCTAATTCTACTTTATAAAATAAAACAATGACATAATAAAAGGTTGAGAGTTACCTGAAGAGTTCTATCAACGTTCTTTGCCCTTTTCTTTGGCCTTTGAGATATTTTAGTCCCTTTCATTGCAAGAAAATCATCTTCTTTCTCTTTTTTCGATAGAGCAATGTATATCTTGGGCCATTGAATTACCTTAACACTAACTTTTCCTCCATTACTATCATCATCACAATTCAATAACCTCTCACTAGCTTCTGTTGTTGAAGATCCATTTTGCTTCTTCTTATTACACTTTGCTCCTGAATTAGAACAAGGAATTCTTCTATTACTTCTTTCACATACTTTTTGTTCTGCAGATCTAGAAACAATTGAACTCATTCTTGAAGCTTCTGAAGAATCTTCCAAATTCCTGCAACGTTCAAATCAAAGTTGTTAAAAAAAGATGTTATGCTAACAATGCAAAAGTAATGAAAATGTTGATTAATAATATTACCTAGAGTTATAATTATGTTTTCTAACTCTAGCATTGGAGGTAGCACAAGAAGAAACAAATGGTGGTGGTGGAGGAGGCATGGTTGATGCAGATGAAAACTTAGCAGGAAACTTTTTCCTTTGATTTGTATGAATAGAAGATGATGAATCTTCAATCAGAGTTCTAGAAACTCTTGATCTCTTTCTTTTACCCCATTTCAACAACACATCACCACCACCACTTGGACTAGTGCTGTTGCTGTGACTTGTCTCAGGAGAAGAATCAAAAGGGGACATTTTGTTCTTCTTCTTGTTGAAATGATATAGATCTCTTTTAATATATCTTGTTCTCGGTTCGAATCCAACCCTAAAAATAAATCAATTTCATTTTTGGTTGTAATGTTATAAGACTCGAGAGATTAATCTCTGCAGATGAAAATGTAAAATAACCAATTAACACTAAAATATTCCTGACCTATTTCCATGTGCTAGCCTACCACCCTATCATGTTCCCTTTTATTCTATTCCTTAAACTCATACCATGAAAATTTTAAAATTAAGGAGAAAAAAAAGAGATAAATTTAACCTATATGTATGATCAGTAACATGGTAATTAACAAACAGTCACAGCATCACTAAGAAGTTAATTTCAGATAATGATAACATAACATAATACTAATTATTTTGTTTTGTATAAAATCGATTTAACAAAAATGTGCAGCAACAAATGTAGAAATAAAGAATGCAGAAAATTGAAAAGTAATAACCTCATGATTGTGCTGGTTGCTGCAGTTGGAATGAAACAATTGTTTGTTGTTATGATTGAAAATGCAGAAAATTGGGTGCGGTCACAGTGCAGTGGATTAATGTGAGACAATTGTTTGAGTTAATTCACTTAATAATTCTCTTCAACTTTAATCTGTTTTCTAGGTCAATGCTAATACTTTTAAACTAATTTTTTTAACCGATTCTTTTTTTTTTGGTGTGTGGATGAAATCCATGTATATCTTTGTATTGAATAAATTGATATTAATAAATCTACTCAATGTACAAGGCGTGAAAATTAAATACAAGAGTCGATGGAAATATAAAACAGGACTAACTAATGTTTGAGATGTAAATGGGACACCTTAGTTTTAATAAACGAAATTTTCTGATAATTTCTTTCTACATCTGCACTTTTTTAGAACTTCTAACAAAATTTCTAAAATAACTCTAGAACTTGGAAGTATATCTTTGAACGAATCCAATTTCAATTTTTTAAATGTGTTTTCAAATATGTATATTCGACATAATTAAATATTTTATTTTTAGAGAGGTTTTCGGATAAACGTATCTGAAATAACTCAATTTCAAGTTTTTAAAGATGTTTTCAGATATGCATATTTGAAATAATCAAATATTTCGTTTTTGAGAGTTTTTGAATATACATATCTAAAATATTAGAACAATTAGAATCAAGTTGTATCAATTTCAACAATTAGAATCAAGGTATATCAATTATATTAATTATATTATCTTATCAATTATTTATATAAATTTTATATATTTTTAATGTGTTAGAAATGAAAAAATATTATTTATTTACATAAAAATATTTATTTAATATAATAAATTTTCTAATTAAATATAATAATGAATCATCAATTTTATAATAATAATTAAAAAATTTCATCTAAATTAATTTAACTTTTAAAATTATAGTTTTTTTATTTATATTTTGTATAAAAAATTATTCATAATTTTAAATAAATAATTAAAAACTATTATAATTAAAAATTTATTTATTACATTCATTATTTAATTTCATATCATAAATTTATTTTAATATTTAATTTTTAATTATAAACTTAAGTTATTTTTTATTAATAATAATCAATTTAATTATATTATAATTATATTATAAATAAATATCTTTTCAAAATAAAATTAAAATAAATTTAAAATATTAGGTGATTTCGGATATATATATCCGAAGTCATCCAATTTAAATTTTTTATGAGTTATTTCGGATATGCATATCTGAACTCATTCAATATCTCAAATTTATAAAGTGCGTTCGGAAGTACATATCCCATGAATATTTTTAGATTTTCAGATGTGAAAATCACTACTAGTAAGTGTAAAGAGAAATTTTAATTTTTTTCATGAATTTAAATTGGGTATCGATATTTTATTGCATATTATTTTAAAATTTTAGTTTATTTAAAATAAATTAAATAAAAAATGATATAATATAAAATTATATTATTTGATTAATTAAAGATATTGAATCAAATTAAATTCAAAATCATCAGAGTGTTCACTTTTAGTAAATTATATATGAAATTTTTTGGTAAATTATATATGAAAACCTAAAAATAAAAATATTTGATTTTATGCCTTTTAAAAATAATAATGATCAATGGAAGTTAATTTGAGTGTATGTTAATTATTAAATATCAAATAAATTTATAAAATCAATTTCATTCAGTTATCGTTATTATTTTTAAATTATTAATATTTTTAAATATTTATAATTAATGGATTAGACTTCTAACTTTTTATTTAATGTTATTTTAACATATTTTTAAAATATTTTTTATTTAATAATTATTATATAATTATGAATTATCATTATATACTGTACTTTTTATTTAATAGTTTTTTAAAAAGAGTTTTTTTATTAAATAGTTACCAGATAAATATTGATTTTCATATTGTGTATAATAATTATATATTAATTAATGTAATTACTATAATTATATATTAACGTAAAAATATATACTGCAAGTATATATAAATAAAACGTTATATATTTAGTTTTGCATCCGAAAAAAATTCATATAGTTATATAATACTTACAAATGCTAATATTTAATTATATTAATATTTTATTTTTATAAATAATGATAATAAAATGAAAAACTTTTTATTGATTTATTTGTTATTTAAGAATTAAGATACTCTTATATTAACACTTATGATTAATATATAATTTTATAATTATTATGTGGGAATATATATGATTGTATTAATATTTTTAATAATATATAATTAAATTAATTTCTATTTTTAAAACAGAAATAATATATTTATAATAATATTACCATTAAATATATTGAATTAATATATAAATATTTTAAATTTTTGGTTAGTAAGATAATACATATTTATTACTGATCGTACCTGACTAGAATGGACCGTCACAGCTTACTTCAAGTCGTACTTGAGAGTGAGGTGGAGGTACCTGCAAGACACTCTGATGCCCAAATGAGATATGGAATTATGCAAGCAAGTAAGAGAGTGAGAAATGTTCAATCTCTGGCCTTCTCGAGAGAGAAGGTACTTATAGCCCCCAGCGTTGGGCCAAGGTCTCCTCATTGGGCTGGTCAAGCAGGCCTAAAGTGGAGACTGTCTGGTCCTATGTGAGTAGTGGGGACCAGCACGTGGTCCCCCACCTGGATGACTTCCTCCGCACGATCAAGAGGATATGGATGCGGTCTTTCCTGAGCCACGAAGACTCTGTGATATTCAGAGACGTTGATAGTCAGCCCTACGAGGAGGATGCTCGTAGGGATGCTTCTGCTCATCGTGGATGCTCCCCGCCAGACGCGAGGTCATATGGGAGACCAGTCTCGGTCGAGGAGAGGATTGGAGGGTGACCTTGGGGTCCTCCTGACCGGGGATGATCTTCTTAAGACTAACTGGGTTTATCCTCGTGTGGTGAAGCTACCTCCTCGCGGAGAGTGGAAGTTTGCTTCCTGACGCAGTCAAGGGCAGAACTGGCCAGCATGCCTTGTTCGGCATAATTGGGTTGAGCCTCACATGGAGTTGGGCCAAGGGCAGGCCCAGTCCAGAACAGGAGCCTCCCAAGTTGTTGCTCCTGACGAAGGAGTTATGACTTAAATCCAGCTTTTTCTCTTACGATGTGCGTCACTCGACGAGGATCTTTCCTTGTGTTAACGGAGAAGGTCGTCAGTACATGGGCTTACTCGAGCAGAGTTCGGAATAGATTTGAGATGGAATCATTCTATTTGTTCCTCGACTCGCGGGGAGAGGAAAGCCTGCGGGGTGTAGACACGTGGTGTGACCTTTGGGATTGTAATGATGGCCTAGGGAATAAGGGCCATCATTAACTGAGCGCGTAGATGTCGAGGAGAAAGGCGGTTTGTGAGCTGCCCGATGCGACGTTTCGAATTCCACGTCAGCTCTATATATAGCACCTCAAGGCCCATTATTCACATTTACATTCTCGCGCTCTTCATTCTCCCTATTGCCAACACTGTGTCGTTCTCTTCAACCGCTAACGCCGCCGCAGAATCCGCCGCGTGTTCTTCATCTACCCTCGTTATTCTTTGTCTACTCTTGTCCAAGTAAGTATTTTTCGTGATACTCTTTGTTTAGATTGGCTTTGATGATGTTTTAGATGTAGAATTTCGCAACTGGGGAGTTTTGCTCGGGGTATTCATGCGTACTTTTTTTGTTTGAGCCCGTGGTATTCATCTTTTCACCGACACTTAGATGAATTCACCCCGTGGTATCCATACGTCCCTGCAAAATTCATGAATTTTGCACAAGAAATTTATGCAATCCCCGGAGAATTCATGATTTTGGCCGGCAAATTCACACTTTGCTCGCTGTATTCATCATGTGCCCGGGGTGTTCATGAAAACAAGTCTTCGTCGTTATAACCGATGTGTGGTCTCATAAGACTGACATGATTTTCATGCCCTGATGGAAGGCCGTGTATTTCCCCTTTCTGTCCGAGGAGGGATGGGGGCCGTATAACCTTTTCACATGCGTCGTGGAGGGATGAATTTGGATTTTCTGTCGAATTCACCAGTTTCCTCTGCTTTACAGGTAAAATGGTCGACACTCCCGAATCTCTCGAGCATATGGACGCCGAAGAGACCGGCGTAGCCAAGGAGGGTGTCAACTTGGTTGACACGGTCGATTATCCTGCATTGGCTTAGGTCGGGGCAGAGCCTCGAGGAATAACCTCGATATACAGTTATAGTAGGAGGCAGTCTTATAATGTCGTCGAGTATGGCGGCGATCAGGAAGGTTTCCAAAGGAACTTCAAGATCTTGCGACCAACATCCACCGCTCGAATATGCTCGGAGTTCGAGGAAGACCGCTTCCCTATGTACGAGGTCGTATTCAAAGAGTTGGGGCTTCGCTTTCCCTTCAACGATTTCCAGATGGGGGTGTTCAATCACTTGAACCTAGCACCCTCTCAGCTTCACCCCAATGCCATTTCCTTCATCCAGGCATTTGAGATTACTTGCCAGTTCTTGAGGATCGGGGCGATCATT